GCAATTAAATCTAAAACAAAAGCTTCAAGAAAAATTTTTCATTTTTAAAATGCATTTTAAATGTTAGGTGTCACTTTTCTTTGGAAGTACCTACATATATATATATATATATATATATAGTGGCTATTGCAGCTATTAGTGCATTGCTGTTCAATTTTTCTTTATTTGCTGTGCACTGATAGCTTAGGGGTAGAATTTCTGGCTGATACCAAATTGGTCGAGTTTCGACCCCAGTTGAAACAATCGAACGTCTAGCTACACTGACAAGCTGTGATATAGTGAAGCAGGCTTGTATGTGGATGACTATTTATGCTCTCGTTTGCCGATTGAGTACTATAGAGAAAGGGTAATTTTAAAAAACAGTGGCTACTGCTGCTATTAATGCATCACTCTTCAATTATAAATTGAGCACTCTTGGCTACCGGCGTTTGTATACATCTCGTATGTAATATGTTAAAAATTTACCTTTCTCTGCTGTGTGCCAATTGAGAATCTTTGACTGATGTCAAATTGGTCGAGTTTCAACCTTGGCTTGAAGCAATTGGATGTCTTGCCACACTGATGAGCTGTTATACATCGAAACAGGCTTGTATGTGAATGACTATATACATATATATATATATATATATATTATTATAATATTTTTATTATAATAAATTGCAATAAAAACATTTTTACATCGCTACACCAAAACTTTCACGTTTCTGTACTAAGATGGTACTTCTTCAGGTGATGGGAGATAACTTGTGATAAAAATGATTTATTAGGAAAATTTAAAACAAATCTTTTTTATATATATATATATATATATATATATATATAGTTTTAAGGTATGCTATATTTATGGGTAAAAAAGCTCAATACATAAATATAATAGTGAACACTGAGACCAAAGCCAAAGTCCTGCAGTTTGTTTCAGGCTTGAATGCAATCTTCAGGTCATGTGGGTGGGATTAGATCAAGTATTTATATATATAATCAATGAAGCATTATGGGTAGCTAGATCAGTTATTTCAGTTTTATTGTGTTATTCTAATAGGTACTGAATAGCAAGAAACAACCCTATACAATAATTATAAAATAAACAGTTCTATTCAAAAGCCACCAGAATAATTTAAAGTAATTGTTTCCACCTATTCAATTCCTTATATATATTATACATACAAAAGAATTACTTAACTGTAATTTTCCTTGACTATGCAGTTTTATGGTAATATGTCCACTTTTCAAGGGGTTCCTATTTCCATATATATATATATATATATATATATATATATGTGTGTGTGTGTGAATTAAGCAACATTTATAATGCTTACAGTAATAATACATACATATAGGATCTGATCAAAAAGTATTTTTGCTATGGTAACAGAACTAAAGCATGCAGAGTGAAGTCACTTAGCATAGATGGACCTTGAACTATGTTATGCATGCATAAACTAAATTGTAACATTCTTGTTTACTTTCTTTATTTATAGCATTGCTTGGTAGGAAAGTGTGTAGAGTGTGTATTCATCTCACCCCAGCACAGAAGAGGTTTCATTAGTGACCCTGACAGAGAGAATTGAGTAGTGAATCTGCATCAAATTTTGCTAAAAGCTTGGTGATATCTGTGCAGAGACGCAAAGTTGCAGAAAGTGTATGGTGAGGATTGTATAAGCTGGACACTAGTGTATGAGTGGCTCAAACGCTTACAAGATTGCTAAGAATGAAGCACATTCTGGAAGACTCACAACCAGCAGAACTGATGAAAACATTGCAATTTGGAAAGACTGTTGAATCACAGTGCATGAGTTGTCAGAGGATGTGAACATTAGTTACGATTCAGTTCTGTCCATTCTCACTGAAGATTTTTGGCTATGAGAAATGTGTTTACCAAGTTTGTGCCAAAACTGCTTTCAGTTGACCAAAAAGGAAAATTTGTTTTCAGTTGCACAGGATCTACTTGATTGAAATGAGGAAGTTGAAAACTTTTTGAAAATGGTCATAACAGGTGAGGAAGTGTGGATCTATGGCTATGACCCCAAAAACAAGGCTCAGTCTTTGCAGTGGAAGACCCCAACCTCTCTGAGACTGAAGAAAGCACAAATGAGTCAAAGTAATATGAAGACACTGTTGACAGTTTTTCTTTGACTACAAGGGCATTGTTCAACATGAGTATGCTCCACTTGGTCAGACAGTAAACAACGAGTACTATTGTGATGTGTCGCAGTATTTGTGGGATGTTTAGCAGAAGAGGACAGAACTGCATGCATCCAGTGAATGGCATCTCCACCACAACAATGCAACTGCCCATTCAACACAGCTTAAGCAGCAGTTTTTGACCAAGAAAAACATTGCCCAGGGCAGATAGCCACCATATTTTCTAGATCTTGCCTATTGCAAGTTTTTCCTCTTCCCAAAAGTCTCACTTGAAATGAACAAGATTTCAAGCATGGAAATCCAAGAGAATGCAACAAGGTAGCTGCTCACTATCGAGAAAAAAGGAGTCTCAGGAATGCTTCCATCAATGGAAATGACGCTTGATAAAGTGTGTGTTTTCAGAAGAGGACTACTTTGAAGAAGATCAAATCCTGTATCAAATCTTATATATATATATATATATATATATATATATATATATATATATATATATAAGTTTGGGATTAAATATAGATCAAATATGTATTGAATCTGACAGAATGATAAGATAAAAGAACAAATAGGAATCGTCTAAATTCCACATAGACAAAATAAAATTTTATGCACTTACATACATATAGCAATATTTATTTTTTTCAGGTAGACTTGGAATTTGTTAATTTTTTGAAACTTCATCTCTACTTGAATTCAGAATGACAAAAATTATACTAACAATGGTTTAAAAGAGTTGAATGTATGCAATACATAACTGACCAATGAAAATCAAACAACACAGAAGTAAAAAATACTAGAATTTCTTTCTTCTTTTTCTACATATTTCACTCTCTGACAAAGCTTTAATAAAAAGTCAAACATGTTAGATCAATAAGTATTTTCAATTTCTTCTTTATTTTATCATATATATATATATATATATATATATATATATATATTTATTCTGGTTTTCCAAGCACACCCATCTTTTGGGTGGTGAGCCACTCTCTGTTGCAGAGTTCACCTGTGGTTTATATTGCAAATATGCTGAGCACACCTTAGTTACAATTTTTGGGAGACAGTGCATAATTTCTCATGATCAGCAGTTTCAACAAAACTGGTACAATCAAACATTTGGTCATGATTTGCGACAACCATCAACAGCTCACAGATAGTTCTGTCTACCTAAATTCAATCACAAGGCTTGAATCAAACCATAGTATGAATTTCAGGCACTCTCCAATGGTGCTGTATGCTGAGATCACCTTCCTAAACTGACAATATCAAGAAGTCACTTTCCTGACGATGCTGTGATTCAAACCTTGCCATCTAACCCCTTAGGCATGCAGCCATATATATATATATATATATATATATATATATATATATATATATAAATATAAAAGTGAACATAGAAGTCAACACATGTGGCCTGACGATTGCATATAGCATGAAACAGACTGTTGCCTCTAAGTGTTGACTTTTATGTTCACTTTTATATTTACACACACTCTATCTCTGATATTGAGCACTTTATTCCATAAATATAGCACGCCTTAAGACTATATTTCTTTATATATATATATATTATGGAAATTTATGACAAAGTGGAAAATAAAAATAGTTCTTAATATAAAAATTTATATATCATATATATATATATATATAATTAATGGATTTATTCTTACTCCAACATGTTTATTACTTCAAAAGTTATTATAGTGGATACTTTGTATTTGAAATGGACGGCCCATTTTTATTTATTAAACGGGGTGTATTATATCTGTCTGTCAGCCTGCACATTGCATTCAAGCAATCCTAAGAAAGAAAATGCATTTCTCCCCAACTCTAGCAAGGAACGAACTTGCATCCCCCTTTGTAGGGGAAATCACCATTTGATCCAGTATGTTTTACCACTCAGCCATAAATATATGAATTGGAATCAAATATGGATTAGAATCTGACAGAATGATTGGATAAACAACAAATAGGAAACTTTTATAAATTTAACATGTTTCATTTCTATATATGCTTCATCAGAAAATGAAATATAAAAAAGAAAATAAAATTCTGATATTTTTTTAGTTTTGTTGTTTTCATTGGTTAAGCAGATCTCATGTGAATTTCTCCTGTCAGGCAGTGTTTGTGTGCATAATTTTTGTGTGTTTGTGTACCACAATTCTAGTTGGTCTATGTGGGATTTGATTGATAATGTGTGCGTTTGTGGCTATTTGTGCATTTGATGAGTGTTTTTATTTATGTCTGGTAGTGTATGTGTTATTGATTGGGGCATGTTTTTGTGAGAAAGAAAGAAAAAAGAATTTACTAGTTGTGGTTCTACGTAGACAAATCTTAGATTCCTTAAGTAAAGATTTTATAAAAGTTGGTGATATAAGAAAGTGTGTTTGACATGTGTTTATTGATGGTAAGATATTCACCAGGATTCCTTCTAAGTATTTACTACATAATAAATTATGTTCTTTTTTTTTAAAATTAGGATGGCATTTAGTAAATTGAAGATATGGCTTGTTTTATTTCTGTGTGTTACATGTATATGTCTTTGACTTGTAAACACATGGAAAAAGTTATATTATTATTTGACATTTATAGAATTATGAATCATGTTGGGATCATTTTTTTTTTCTTAAATCTGTTCTGAAGATTCTTAACAATGGATTCTGGATGTGAAATTAGGTTTGAATCAACTCCAGAAATCTTAGACCATCAGTATGTATGTCTATACATACAAGCATATTGTTGATACTGCATATCAGCAGTAATTTTGCTTATAGACGTTTTTACTGCTCAAAATAAACTGTTTTCCATTTTCTATTTTAGCTCTGTACATTGTATAATTTTTTCTTTAATCATCTACATTCCTTTACCTGGAAATTAGGCAGAGGTATTGCCTTTTTCTTGTTAAATTTCAACTGGGCTTCTCTCTCCTCTTCAATTGCTTTCAGTTTCTGGTATGTTTTGCAAGACATTGTTGCATTGGCACATTCGATATGAAGATTGTCCACTTCCCAAAGTTTTTTCTGAAAGAAGAAAGTCAAATCTTCAAATTAATCATTCAGTTCAGTTTAGGATGTGAGGATATTTTGCCATTTTATTTTTTTTTTTTACCCAAAACTAAATAATTTAGTCTCATATGTATCCTAGGTTTATTTATTGCAGAGACTCAGTTTAGAAAATTTACAAAGAATTTTTTGGTTCTTCAATGTTTATTGTATGGATTATCTCCCCTGATATGTATTCTGTATTTAAGTAAGTCCAGTAGAATACACTCCATTCTAAGTTGAATAAAGTTTCAGTTAAGTTACACCTGCGTTCATTTCCTCATTACAATATTATAATAATTATTACATTAATGAGCAAATAATTATAATAAAAACAAAACTCGTTCAATATAAAAGCATCTGATTTTTGGTATCTATTGACACATTGAATTTAAGATTAATGTAAACATAATTAAAATTAATAGGGAATTATTTATTAATTCAAATCATTGGTTTATGTAAAAAAAACAGCCTTTTCAGAAGAGAAGACATTTGTCTAGCAAGGAATGTTAATATTATTAATTTTTGTGATTTTAATGGTTTTTAAAGGTTCAAATACTGATGAAAATATGCTAGAAAATTTAATATTCAACAAAACAAATACCAGCTTACACATTTATAACATCTTTGCATTAAATTTCATGGTATCTTACCAAAACTGTGTCCGATATCCTGTGAACTGTTAGGTAGAACAAAATGGTAGAAGAATCACTAACACATGACGTTCACTGAATAAAGACAACAGGAAGACTTATCTTAGCCATCTTGTTTCATCTTCTGAGAGACTTTATCAAGGCAAGGATTTTATCTTGTAATAAGTATTTAAAAACAAGAGCAAAATTGTAATTGTTTTTTTAAAATTTTAAAATTTAAGAATGCTCATAAATATTCATCAGATTAGCTGAAAAGTCTAGATAAACTATGGAGGGTGCCAAGTGACACAATTCAAGGTCTAATAAATGAAAGTGAGTAAATAATGTTATTGGAATACATTGGTTAAGTTTTTCTTTTGTCTTTATTCATATTGTTTTTTTACAGATATGCGCTATCTGAAATTTACACATAATGTTCATTATAATGAGATTAATATGGTAATATTATTGAAAAATTGGTAATTATGACAACAATAACAATGATGATAATCTTTTAAATTTTAAAACCTATTATCAATTAAAATGTATGTCATGTTTCAACTTGAGAAATCACCTCAGATCAATGAATATTGGTTGGATGTAGAGAAAGAAAAAGAATATTTTGATAATGGAAATAGGATACTGGCAATTTTCATAGAAATTCACTTGAAATATGACCTTTTTTGAGAGGTGGTATTTAAAACTGATCATGATTTTTGTTCTGACTTATTGCCTTGTATTTAATTTATTTGTCATAATTGACAATCACAGTTAAGCAGAGTTTTGATGATTTTAACACTACTTAAGAGAATAATGACAAGTTTTCTGACCAAAATAAAGAAAGGCCAGATTTTTCACACATCATTCAGTTTTCTACTTCTAAAATTTGCTACACTCACAGCGGATATTATGTAAACAGACATTAAGAAGCAAGTTGAGGCAAAATTGAAAAAGAAAAAAAATTGAACAAATTTGGAGACATTTTTCATATATATTTACAGATACTTTAAAACCAAATATATTATTATATGTATATAGAAATCTTTGATACTGGACAGAGTGAAAGTTTCTCTATATATTTAAACAACTAAAGAATAATGGGCAATTATACCTCTCTCTTTCTTTCTTTCTTTCTATATATATATATATATATATATATATATATATATATATATATTACATTATATGAGTACATACTCCATTTATTTATTTTCATATACCTGCCTAGATATTTGAGAAATCTTATTAAAGAAAATTATGGATTCTGGTAAGATTTGAACTTGCATGACCATTGATAGGAGAAACTGTCACTAGATCCAACATGCTTTAGAGTGTCTTGGGCATGCAGTGCATTGATTCATGTACACACACACATATATATATATATATATATATATATATACATACACACACACATTGTGATGTGTTTCATCCTTCAGGACTTCATTGGACTAAATTTGTTATGTCGGTAAAACTACACATGCACATGGCAGATGGGTGCTGGGAATTTTAGAATTTTTTTTATCACCCAAATTAATTTAGATTCTTTTTCTTTTTATCACTTTTTTAAGTAGGTATTCCACATTGTGATATTAGGAGATCTGCCAGGAATGGTGAAATGTTATAAGACAGGACGCAATTTTACTGTACATAACTTTACAACTAAGGCACTGTCTAGACATTTACCACAATGAATTATTTCTCCTTTGATCATAGTAATGCATTTGATGCATTTTGTAAAATGACCCTTTTCTGTTCATATAATCTTTTATTTAGATTCTTTGAGGTTTCTCCTATGTATTTTTTGTGACAATTATTACAGGCAATAAATAAACTCCTCCTTCAGCTTTTAGCATATTGTTTTGTTTTGTTGAAAATTTCTTCGCATCAAGGTTAATCAAAGTCAGCCTGTTAGTAAGTGATTGTGGATCACACCTAGTCTCATGTCCCAATTTTAAACAGGGATCAAATAATAGAGAGCAGTGCCCACAAAACAACTCCATTTGCACAAAAAATAAAGATTGGTGAAAGGAAGAGAAGGTGGACCTTAAATAACAAAGGGCAGATCTGTGTAACTCACCCTTCTGGTAACAAAAGACTACAAAATCAGTGCCCTGGAACAGCTTTGCTTTGATAAACTAGAATCTGTCAACCACTCAGTTTCTACATCTGACTGCCTCCCAATAAGAGCAGGTAATTTTCACTAATTTTTCCACAGTTTAGTAAACTTTTTTCTCTTTGTCATACAATTTCCAACACACAAACACACACACATATTTGTGGATTTAGGCAGCAAATTCTCTTTTAGGAATGTCTGATTAAATAAATTACAAACATTATGTCTGCTTATTTTTAGCATAATTGTTTCATATTCATGAATATTTTTCCATGTATTACAATCAAATGAGGCAAGAAACAGTAACAGTGAAAATCCTTTGAGGAAGTACCATAATCTATTTGATGTGTGTTGAGGTTTTTGATAAATCATCTTGTTCATCTATAATGTGGTTTATGAAGTCATTATTAATGAGAGTCTGCTTAATATTTTTTAGTTCAGGGTAGAAAATTTTTTTGTGTAGGAATTAATTTGTCCTCAGTTAATTAAATTCTGTATAAGTGCTATTTTGTAGTAATCTGGACATTCACTCTTATAGTTGAGAGTGCAAGAGTTTTTGCTGGTTATTTTTTTTTATTCAGAGAGATAGTAAATGTGTTATTATTTGTGTCTATTAAAATGTCAAGGAAAGGGATTTTGTTATCTTTGTTAAGTTCGCATGTGAACTTGAGGACAGGGTTTTTTTAAAAGTTTGTTTGGAGTTCCAGTATTTTTTCTATGTCTTTAACTAAAATAAGGATATCATCTACATATCTTAGGTAGATGGAGGGTTTCTTGGTGGTACCAAATATATTATTTTCTAGGTTGGCCATGTAGAAGTTGTTGAAGGTTGGACTCAGAACATAGAAACACCATCACATTGCACATATACATTATTTCTGTGATCATAGAATGGGATTTCAGTGGTAAAAGATAAAAGTAATTTTCTTAGTATTTTAGGTTTAATTTTTAATGGGGGCAGAGATGAATTATTATATGTATTTTTAATAATAATGTCAATGGTTTCTCTAACTGGAAAGTTAGTGAACAGATTTTCAACGTCAGGAGATGCTATGGTATCATTATTAGGTTTTTCAGTTTTTAATATTTGTATAAGTTCAAGGGTTAATTTAATGTTGTATTTGTTAGGTATGTATGGTGTAATTAATTGGTTAAGCATTTTAGTTGGTAGACAGGAGTGGGAATTTAGGATATAATAGGGCAGAGTGGAAAGTTAGGTTTGTACATTTTGATAGAACCATAAGTGTATCCTGGTTTATAGTCTCCAAATATTTTGGTAAGTTTTAGATTGTCTTGTTCCGCATTGGTAGCTGTGATTAATTTTAACTTTTAGCTGAGTAGTAGGATTATTAGTAAGTTTTCTAAATTTGATGTGATCATCAAGTAACTGTTCCATTTTTGAGTTGTAGTCGAACTTGTTTAAAACAACAAAGATGTTTGCTTTATCAGCTTTCAGGATGGTTGCATTATCCTTTTGCAGCAATCTTTAGTGATGTATTTAGGAGTTTAGATAAATGATTACTTTTATCATGTCTGTCCTTAAGTAGATCATGGATTTCTGGTTCTGTGGTAATTAGCTGCTGTTCTTGGGAAATAAAAGTGATTTTAACTGTTACAGTGCATTTTTTGCTCATTTGATTGTAATAAACAGAAAAATATTTGTGAATATGAAAAGATTATGGTAAAAATAAGCAGACATAATGTTTGTAATTTATTTATTTAATTATATATATATATGCATATATATATATATATATGCATATATATATATACATATGTGCATATATATTTATATATAAAAAGATACACACACACATATATATATCAATATATATATATATATATATATATATAGATAGATAGATCAATCAAAATAAGTTTCATTAAAAACGACAGACAAGGTACAGTGATTAAGCTTTTTATTATTTATTATTTTTCACACTTTATGTCTAGGAAAGAGAACCTACCAACAAGAAAAATTGCAGTACCTTGTCAGTAATCTTTAATGAAACTTGTATAAAAAAGGGATTGCTGCTCAAATACAAGCATATGGATATCTTCTTTTCTACATAAAAAAAAAACTTACAAACTATTTCTTGTTCACTATATTTAGGATAGGTATAGTGTTATTTTAATATTACAGATATTTTTTTATTCTTTTTATTTTTCTGTAAATTACCATGAATTCTTGAAAAAAGTAGTGGAGTGATTTCCTATTGTCTTTGTCAGAA